CGCTGTGAAGTAGGCTGAGCTGAATGACAATGGCAAAGTGAACTTGAATGTGAGGCTTCCCTTCATCACTGCCACCCAACTGGCCCACTTTTCTGTGATCCATTTACAGGCTTTTTTTTTTTTTGCCCTTTTAAAAAAACTCTGCATTTTGTATTTGCTGTTTGTAATTGTTATCTTATAGATCTAAATATGATTTATGCTATACCCAACTGGCCCACTTTTCTGTGATCCATTTACAGGCTTTTTTTTTTTTTGCCCTTTTAAAAAAACTCTGCATTTTGTATTTGCTGTTTGTAATTGTTATCTTATAGATCTAAATATGATTTATGCTATGTGAAAGGTACTGACCTTAACATTTGCATTTTGCTTTTCTTGACTATTCATTAACATGCTGGTATTGTTACTTGTAAAATTCCTAACTTGTTGCATCTATTTTGTCTGAGTTCATCAATAACATTTGGAGCATCCTGAAGAAACTGGAACTTCTAAACTCTCATTTTCAATAGAAAAGGAAGAAAGTTTCCTACCTTCTGAATAGTGTATTATTTTATTCATTCATACATACATAGTTTTTTTTTAAACATACAAATACATAATTCAATTTTTTGCATTATTAGTTCAACTAACCAAGTTATGATAATACAGATTGGTGGAATGAAATGAGATACTCTGGATATGCTTGGATATCATTGAAAATTACAAAAATTGAGGGCCTTCTCAAGTCATCAGTCACACTGTCAAACAGATCAGTGGGATCTGTCCCACTTTTTGGGTTTGGGACAACTAATCCTTTTGACCCGACACAATATTCCCCCACAAGCACTCTAGCAAGGTACATATATTTTGTCCTAGATGCATCTGGCTTCGAATAGGTATTGTGGGCAGAATAACAGGCATTTACAGCAAAGTAAGTTCCGTTTCCATAATTGGCAGCTATAGAGGAAGAAAAACATGTAAAGAGTTAGCAATAATCAGTGTCTATCTTTTCACTCTTTAAAGCACTCTGTCCAATAATATATCTGTCATATCAAGCACAATCAACACTCAATAGGAAAAACTTTCCCAGATACAGGCAGTCCTCAGGTTACGACGGCAATTGGGACCAGGTTTACTGTTGCTAAGTGATGCAGTTGTAAACAGCAACATTATGTGACCGCATCACTTAGTGATGGCAATCCTGGCAGTCCTGGTTCCCATCATAACTCCAGGATGTGCAGATCATT